GAGCAGTTGATTTAATGACCACTCTCTGTTGTAATGCATCCTACTGAGCATAGTACAGATACATCAAAGCATTCAAACAGGAGAATTCAAATTCAATTCAAATTCAAAAATACTTTATTGACCCCAGAGGGAAATTTGGTGTTGTTGTAACTCCTTTAACTAAAAAACTTATTGTAGATAAGTATCGTAAGAATCGATAAGTATTGTAGTCTGTATTACAGCGAAGTTGAAGAAGCCTCCGACTGAAGACACTTTGTCTTTCTATGACAGCCTGATGAAGAGGATGGTCAGGGTTGTCCACAATGTTCTTGATTTTATGTAAAATCCTTCTTTGCACCATCATCTACAGAGATTCTACAGTCGTCCCCAGAACAGAACCAGCTTTCTTTATCAGGTTGTTTAGCCTTTTTAGTTCCCTGGCTCTGAATTCTGGTGAGTCTGTAATTATTAAAAATGTCAATAGTGTTGATTTCATTCTATGAAGATTTTTTTACACCAGAGGGTAATTATAACCTAAATTAGAAAGGTACAATCAAAGTTTTTCACACTCTTTCCTTTCCTTTCCTTTCCTTTCCTTTCCTTTCCTTTCCTTTCCTTTCCTTTCCTTTCCTTTCCTTTCCCGTTTTCTTATTTTTCCTTTTATGTTAAGCTAACCCATCTCATGTCTGAATAAGCCTGAAAAGCCACTGACCAAAGACAGGTGTTAATGATGGATAAAACACAGGGTCTAACAGTATCAAACACCTCTTTTAAAAGATGAGGGCTGGTAATGTCCAGTGGGACACTCAGTGGACAGGTGGTGCACAATGTCTCTTTGGCTCCAAAAGAATAATAGAAAAAAAAAAAAAGCTCAAAGAGATCAAAAACGACAGAAGGGAAAGAAGGTGGGAGTTCAGGTCAAAGCTAGGGGAGCGATGTGAGAACTGATCCAAAGAATAGAATCCAACAAACTATTTTATGTCTTTCTATATCAGAGTGATACGATACCTTTATTTGTCAAATACCAACGTTTCTTATTAAACCTATTAAAAAAGTAATTCCAAAAGGTGGAAAGCAATAAAATAAGTATTTTTTTACAGTAAACACACACAAATATACATATATACTGCATTACATTAAGAGTTATATAGATGTCAGGCGTATTTCTCACCATCAGCAGCCAGAGCTGTCACTATGCTCATCTGAGTTGGCCCCATTTTCCCAACTCCTCCGTTCTCAAAAGCCGGCTGGTTTTCCAGTTCTTGGAGCTGCCAGTTGAGTCCGAAAAGGTGCATTGCTAAAACACACACACACACACACACACACACACACATATGCACACATTAAATAAAAGCCGTGTAGGTTGGTGGAAAAATGATAAACAAACAGGCAAATAGTTTCAAAGGAACAATCAAGCCACTTAAGCACAAAGGACCAGTGGGAGTGCACAGCGGAAGGATCCAGCGCRAGCAACAACAACTATTTAACTCTAAACACTTTTCCTCTTTATTTTGGTTTTAGTGGCTGCGGTGCCATGGGTGGCTTTTGTGTGAACTTCGCAGGAACACGGGCCAGACAAAGTCATTTCAATCAATACTGTGCCATGTTTCCTCGGGGAGTGCTGTTCATTAAGGTTCCAAAGTGTCAGCTACTGCATCAAAGAGAGCAGCGGGCTGAGATTCTATTTTGACACAAAAAGCTTCCACTTCAGACAAAAAAAAAAAAAAAAAAAAAAGGAAGACGAAATACACTGGAAAAGTCTTAAACTCCCCRAGTCTAATACATGAGACGCAGCGTTACACGTTCGCGAAGGAAAGAGATAGAAGAACCGATACAAAGTAAGAGACTTTTAAGAAAGTGGAAGGCAGCGTGTCGAGAAAGGCGCTCACAGCGGGGGGGTGGAAGTGAGAAGGTTAGGCGCTGAAAACTCCTCTAGTTCTCTTACATAACTAAAAACGTGTCTGGCTTTCATGCCGACAACCTGCTTTATTGTTACAGAATTGGATGCAATCAAACTGTGCTCTTGTTGTTTTGAGAAACTGAGGCGTTTCTGTGAGCGCAGCGAGAGGGCTTATCTCCTTCAAAGTCACCAGCCCGGGAACATGCTGAGGAAGCATCTTGATTTCCGACCATTTGATCTGCGGGAGGAACTTTTCTCCAACACCCGTCGCTCGCTGGGAAGATGGATATCGACTGCAGCAAATAACTTGAGAGGTGGATGTGGGGCCAGAGAGAATATCAAGTGTGTGGGAGAGCAAAAGCGAGATGGGAAACTAGCATGAACAGTGTGTCAATGATACTTTGTTTAAAAAAACAAAACAACAGGGAGCGTGTCCGCTTTGTAAAAAGCCTCCTGATGAAAATACTCGGCATCGGTTGAGTGAGGAGCCACACAACACTCGTCCTTGATGGATCAAATGAACAGGTGTGGCGTAGCTTTGGATTTCAGTCGGATAATTCAGATTTTACATGCGAGTGGAAATGTTTTGGTTTCCGCGCCCGCTCAGTCAAAAATCGTACTCGGTTTCAAAATCAATCTTTGCTGCTAATAAAGCAAACGAGCCCTAAGAAACGATTTCTGATTGTTTCATCAATAGTTTTAACAAGACTGACTCGTCTCAGACAGGAAGATGAAAACATCAGATTGACTGCATTCATTACAGGAGGGGACACTGGGTTCACCTTGTGTGTTTGTCTTTGTGTGCGTGTCCCCGAGGACAAAAAGGATCAGAACTATGAGGGAGGCAGTCAGAAAACCAACGCATCTGTTCTGATTTTTATTTTTTAATATTGTATTTAATACGGTGATGCCTAGAGTAATTATAGCTCTTCACAGCTGGTGATATCCAGTCATTTATTTTTCCTTTGTCAGCCTCTATAGGAGTTCCTGTTGGTATTTACAATAATGGACAATAGTCTGGAGCCATTTTTCATTTCTTTATAACGTGCTTCCAAAAAGAGAGCTTCTTTCAATTCTAAAGTGTTTTTTTATTCGTTCTGCTGACTTTTTCAAAGTTTTAAAAGTTCTCTTTGTGTGTTTGTTTATTCGTTTACTTTGCATGCCTTTTCATACATTTTTTTACGAGTCATTCTCAATCCTTGTACTTGACTATTTTCAGGGGAATTAATTTTGTTTGTTAAGCCACTTAACTTAGACTTATGAAATATTCAAACATAAAAAGGCTTCAAAACTCGAGGGATGAAGCACGGTTTCGTCTAGACAAAACAACTTAGCAAATAACCAATGCTAAATTGGATCTTTGGCTCTTTTTTAATGCCATTTTACAAATTTGTTTAGATCATTGGGAAAAAAAAATCAAAAAACAAAAACAAAGATAACAGTTTGTCAGACCTAAAATAGTCGTTTAGCACCAACAAGGTGAAATCAGCCGAAAATACAAAGATGATCAACAAAAGTCATGTGGACCTGTGTTCAGACTGCAATGTTTTTGGTAAAAAAATAAAATGCAAAGAAGAAAAAATGAATAAATATCTAAAAGAAAATAAAAGTGACAAATAAATGCTGTTTAGTTGATGCAATATATATTTAGAAGAAAGTTCTGCCCCTGCACACGTTTCTTGATTTTTAAAGCGCTCACTTCTCCACAATCAGGTACATGAACAGGAAGTGAATAAAAAGCAGAATAAGCAAAAAGAAAGCAAAAACATTAAAAGAACTCCATAAATTCTTGAGAAGTATACTTCAAAAAGTAAGTGAACCTAAATTTAAAACCTTTTCACTTTAAAACTTTCGCACTATACTTTATTTATATCCCACACTTGAGTCTTCTGCCTTATAATATATCAAATTCCCAAAAAATCCAGTAGTTAAAACCCTAAGGGCAGGATTTCATCAGGCTGCGAGTGCTGGAGACAAGCTGCAGAACCAAAATTGAAAGACATTTTAAGAAAATAAATGCAGATACAGTCTTGCTAAACTCTGACTGTGAGTGTTTGCAACTAAGCGACCAGTTTGTGTTTTCCTTTTTTTTTTGTTTGTGTTTTTACAATCCCTGTCTATTTTTGTGTGCACAGCTTGCAAAACTGTATCTGTGCACATTACTTTCTTGCCCAACTCCTCCCACATCAGACTGTCTCAGTTTGCTTTGTCCCCCATCTTGGCAGCCCCCGCCCCCCCATCACCAAAAATGTGATTTATTTTCCTCCAGCAATGGAATAAAAAATGGCAGATTTGGACCAGTTGTTATTTTCTTTTTTTAAAAAAATAATATTTATTACAGTGGTTTTTAGTCGTGAATATTTTGTCATGAGCCCTTCCATGCAGGTATCAGACCAAAGCTCTAGCAGTTTACAGTTTACAGAAACTAAATTCAGAACAGTTTGAGATCCGTTCCACACGACTGTGACAAGTCTGTGACTAAAATGGTAAAAAAAAATTGTCTAACACATTTTTTTGAATATCTTCAAAATTCTAGCAACGAGGCTACAAGCCTCCCACAGTAGCAGCCCAGCCAGATCCTACCCTAACAGATGCATTTTGCAGTTTAAAACAAATTTGCAAATATTCCCATCACCAAATACACAAATCCCGTTTTCAGAATAAAAATGTTTCTTTTTTTTTCCTTTTTTTTTTTTTTTTTTCTGAGGCAAAACTACAGAGCTGAAATGACAAGGATCAAATGAGGACGTGAAGCATTTACTCAAAATAAAACCTCCGCCTGGAAATATAAAAATATAAAAATAAAAACACACCTACTCTGTTAAAAATGATTGACAACACTAAATAAAATCAGGTTAGGGTTTTTCTTTAAAAAAAATGTAGCAAAACCTTTTTTCCCCCCCAACACATATAAAGAACAAAAAAACTAAAATGCATTGGGGAAGTTGAGCTTGTTTGAAGCCAGCACAGAATCTTTTTGCTCCATCAGGGGAGACGATGAACGACAGAGACGGCACTCAACAAAGAGTTGTTGCCTCGCAGCTGAATCCTGTCTTAAATACTAATTACATTTAACAACCTTGTTTAACCTTTAGGTGAACCAAAATGCAGGTATTTGTGTTAAAAAAAAACAGGCATCCCACTCCTGTACTGCCAGCCTGACACTGCTGGAGGTCAGTCAGGCGRCGTGGCTAAAAATAGGCACGACAACGTTTAACTTTCAGAAAGGTAAAAGCAGTAAATTAAGGCTGGTACAARTCTCTTTGTCTGAAACACCTTTCCTGAGTTGATTTCCGATCAAATCAATAGAACATAATAAGCGCGGGGGCTTTCTTTGTCTACACATCTGTCTCCTTGTATCATCAGTCTTCTACCTGAAAGGCAACTGTGTGGTCTCCTGTGTATCAGAGGCGCCACGCAACAGAACCACACAGAGCTGTCCCCCCCCTCTTCACTGCTCTCAGAGCACCGGAGTCTGATTCCCCCACTTACCTCATCAACAAATTGCTTTGAGGTGAATAGCCCTCAATTTATAAATTTACATAAGTTATTTCTGCAGCCTAGACCAGTTCAATTAATATTTATGGGCCAGGAGCAATTTTCCTTCTTGAGCAAGATGACTGGAAAAGCAGGTCTCTAATCACTGATGTCAAAAGTTGCCTGAGGAGCATCAACAGTGAATTTGTGAATTTGCTACATGCCTTTTTGAGCTCTGACATGCACACAGTCTCTTGTGTACAGAAGCACAAACACTGTTGCACCATAAAATGCAACATGGCCCAAAGAAAATCCTCCAGGCTTCTCTCAACAAGTTTTCCTCTTTTTTTTATTTATTTTTTGGTCACATGTTTACTGCTGGTGCTGCCACTGGAGAAACACTGTGCTTAGTGTGTCACAGATGAAAGTTTTTTTTTTCTTCCTCTGTCTCCATCTTTTACATATAATAAAAAAAAACACAAACAACTGAAGCAGCCTACAGCATAAAAATGCAAAGTTGCATAAAGCACCAGTATTTCTATTGCTAGTGAGAAAATACTTAATGAGCAAATAAATAAATAAGGCTATTTAAGGGAGGAATAAAACGATCCATCTGGAGTAAAAGAGTGTCAACAGCAACTGAGACCTCAACAGTCTTAAAATTACCAGGATAAATATTGTTTTACATTGGAAAGTAGCTGGCCACAGATGCCTCCGGGGAATTCCCAGAATAAAACTGAGCAGCGGCTCTGAGCAGAGATGTTCCCTCTCTCTAGGACAGAGTTTCCATCAATCTCACACGGATAAACAACATCCCCACCACAAGACTGACCAACAAAGGGTTTGTTTTATAGCTGTGAGGCCAGTGAAGCAAGCTCTGTGTCTCTTTGTGTTAGTCCCTGGGTGTATCTGATTTTCAA